GCCGTTTCTCTTTGAACATCAAATAATCAGTTCATACGCCGGAATGTGTTAACAGGTGCTGAAGCTTTCTAACGGCGGATCTGGAATGCGAACTGCGTTGCTCCCTTGTATTAACTGTCAGGGAAGAGTGCGAGTGGAGGCAGCATTTACAAGGACGAGCAGCATCTCTCAAAGCATCGTGAGTGATGAGTGACAGACTGTCATATCGAATAAAAAATACCATTTGCTAAATTTGCATGTAGCACCGCAAATGCCCAAATACCATGTAATCGCGGGCTGGTAAAAGTCAGCCACTTTAAAGATCTAGAAACAAGAGACGGTGCAATACTGGTCTACAAACAAGAAACCGTGAAATCTGGTTTGGAAGAGGAGGTAAACGAGTGCCAACAGACTCTAGCTCCGGGGCAGCTGATGTCTGTGTCAAACGCGAACGCAGGTTATTGTTACTCTCGGTATCAACATCAGTCGACAACAACCAACAGGTACTGCCACACCTGCGTCTGACGTGTGCCACCCAGGAGCATACGATCAAGACAGAAAGGTATGGACGGGCGGACGGGCAGAGAGACAGACAAACGGTTTGAGAAAAGGTGGACAAATTCGACGACGAATTCGAGAAAAGCTTTTCAGGTGGATGAAGAGAAGTTGCAACACGTTCGGACGCATCATCAGCGAGGCAAACGAGAACAAAAAGTTTAAGGCTAGGGACAAGAAATCTAACGAAAAAAGAATCGTCAGACGCCTGATGTAAGAATCACAGCAAACAAAGAGCCTCACTTAATCGGCGTAAGAAAAACGCTACGAACGTCTCAAAACTAGCCAATATGTCGTTCGATTGTTGAAAACCACAAGCTGAAAAAACAGAAGCCAAACAAATAAATGATGATAACCGCAACCGTGCATCATGTCACAAGAATAACGAACACCATTTCGAAAGGATCAGCAGACACATTCATTTTTGACAGGATCTTCTTCGTAATTAAACGGAATGACCGTCACCCGGTCGTGAAGTCGAAACTCTGTATGATGCGATCAGTCCTGGCGTTGGTTAAATCGAATAAAATTCAAAGCAAACAATGACTCTAGTCGCTTTGGGCAGGTCGTTTTGGTTTTTCGAGATTCGTTTGCCTTACACAACAACTCATGTGGCGCCGGCAAGACGTCGACCAGGAACGAAGCCAGCATGAAACATGGAGGAACGAGGTAACGACGGCGTTATGCCTTCGAAGAAGAATATTTCCTTCTGCGATGCAGTAACTGACGCCTTATAGCAATGGTGCTGAAAAGCTATGAATACCGTCGACATCACAAATCAGAGACGTTCTGCTTACGCAAACGACTCAACGTAATGATCATAGCAGACAAACGCACAATACGACAAAACGCATTATGAGCCTCCAGTTTAAAAATGCGTCGGAAGTAGGCAACTTTTACATAACCACAGCATTTAAAAGAAAGGACAATACCAAGCCGAGATTTCAAGAACAATCACGCACAAAGCAAAAGTAACTTTACACCCGCCATCAGTGTTCAGTTACACCAAAGACCGCAGGCAATCAAACGCTACCGCCCATACCATTCCGTGAGAACATGCCGCAAGCAATACACGAAAACAAAATAACACATGATTACCTCCATACTCTGGCTCCGAAGTATATGACAAGAATGCCTGTTAAAGCAACTAACACGTACATCATACGAGCCAACGTCGCATTCTCAAACGTCAGTCCACCAAATGAATCAGAACCAGTGGAATGCGATGGCTTTGTGCTGTAAGTGGTGGTCACATACAGACCGGTACCATTTTCACTCCAATCCGAGGTATTCGCACCAGCAAATGTCATTCTTTTTCAACCTGATTCTAACAAACAGACCTTCACATAGGGAACGAACTCTTCGATTGCCAGCAGCTTACTCGTACAACTGCATACTGTACAATATACAACAGAAACGATGCTTAGGAACAAACATTCAGCTATTCATAGGAAGCGGATTCTACTTGTTTAATGCAAACAAATGTCAAAGGCGAAGGATGAAGCCAATTTCCAACGAATCACAAAGTGACTTCTTCCAAAATCCGTAAAAACAGAAAATACAATAACAAGAAAGCACCGCGACAAAGATGAAGGATATGCTAAAGAAAACAAAAGTAGAACAACAGAAAATCAAATCAGAGATTTAGCAAGACCAAAAATGAAAAGGATAATTACACACGGGAAAGTGCGAGAAAAAAACTCATCACCGAGAGAAATAGTAGATATGGAATTGCAAATGCCATGTCAATGATGACGTAAAGTTTATTAACCGATATACCATGTCTTCATTTGTAATTCGCTAACGTGGTGGTGTACCACATAATTTACTGCAAATTAGGACTGGCTTTCTATATGCTGCCCATTTTTCCTTTAAAAGAGTAAAACACAGAGGTGAAATGTTCTATGTTGCAATTTGGTTCAGACTTAGACAACTCCGTACAGGATCACACTGCATGATACTCCTAAATTTGCCTATACAGAGTGTGGAAATTGCTGCCCAGCTAGAAATCCAAGCACAAAACATCGGGAGTTATTTTACCGTCTGATTTTTTGGCATCAGCATATTCAGTCAGTGGTGAATCCTAGCTGTAGAGCAGGGTACTCTGAAAACGGTCCGAAACATCAAAAAGCCTTAAATAAAAAATAATTTACGCGTTGTCTTTCCGTTTGTGACTTACCAACGCACCATGTAATGCGTGTTATATACATAAAATTTCTTATGTACTACTTCTGAAACGTTTAGGATCACGCCCGATCTATCTTGAAAGGGATATATCTTATAGAAATATTGTATATCGGTGAATGAACACGATTTGAGTATGATCCAGAAAGTCGGAGAAGTCGCAAGTAATAAATTTCACATGCAGAGTATTCTCGTACAGGACTTGTCGAGTTTTGAAAGGAGTAAAATTTAGAAAATAGGATTACGTGATTTTCAGGATATTACGCATTCCAGAGCTACAGTATTCTTTATTCAATTTTTTGCAGAACCGAAGGTAGCTAAGAAAATGTAACGTACGTAGAATTGCGTGAATCCTAAAATCAAGGAGCAGGTTTAGCGTTCAGCACCGTGCGCGCCACCAGTAACTAGCCGTATGTCCCCTGTAGATTTTTGCTGAGGAGAAGAACGCGCTGTCAGGTAACGAATCGCGCATGTTTACACGAGTTCATCGACTGACGTCAGCTTTCAGCAGCTCTTTGCTTGCCGACGACAGAATACGCCGATGCGTAATGCTGAAGCTGTGCCGTCGGCGGTGAACCAAACGATGAACG